ACAGACAACCTCTCGTCAATATGCGTTTTTCGCATTGCATTGCTGCAAAAAACGCATAAAAACTCACGTTAGCGGTGGTATGATTAAATCGATGTCCTCATCATCGACACCCGAAGAATCTGGGATATCGTATGGGAAACTACTTCTGGACGATTCTTTTTCACCCAGTTCAGGTAACGGTGTATGTTGGTGTAAACTTTCGGCGGTGATATGTGCACTTCGACTTACGAAATATCGGTTTAGTCCATTTCGGGCTGAAGCCATGGATAAGCGCACCGAAGACTGTCGAGCAAATGCCTTTAAAAGGAAACCGTTGAACGAAACTTATTCAAGCAAAGTGAAAATTCGAAACACCACCAAAATGTAAATGCAGCTGTTTTGATGACAAAGCTGCATTTACGATAACGGGGTAGTATTTGATAAATGCTTTTATTTGTTTTTCCCTATCCTTTCTTTTACATTTCCAATCCCCATTAATTATCTTTCGGCCCTTCCTTCTCCATACCGTAACCCATTGTTCGGGGGGAACAAACATTTCCGGTGCCTGGGAATACATCTGGGTAGGGTGGTAGACTCGGCGGAACAACAGTCTTAACCGCGCCCCTCTTCCTCTACTATATAAGGCTCACTTTTCTTCAGTTGGGAGCTTCATCTTCATCTCGTCAACTACATCTACGGCGTCACCTCGACAATCATCGGGTTTCTTTCCGCCTTCGGACTGTGGTTCACTTGGACTTCACTCCATTCATATGCCATCTACTGGCTCTGGGCTTCGAACAACTTTTTAAGTAAAACGGGTCCCCTTGCAAACTCGATGTTTTGCAGATAAGTCACTTTCTTTTTATCAGTGCGCTAACTGCTGACTGTGTATAATGCCCGGTGCCCCTCTTTTCTCGTTTTATAATTAAATGCAACTACGCATCATAAAGAACTACAATAAGTCAGCTTGTGTGCTCCATTAGACCACGCCAAGATCAGAACCTCACCGGGCATGTCCCACATTTACTATAAAAATCGAAGGGTTCGCTTTAACAGTTGGGAAGAGTTATGCGGAAAATTCATAACCTAATAGAGTGGACAATTTACCAGCCGCCTGCTGCTGCATAGAAGGCCAGAAACAACAGAACTGTGAATGGGTTAGTCCTTCGAAGTACTAAAAAGTTCAAAGTACTAAAAATTCAAATTAACGCCCCTTCCCCCCAAAACTCAGGTTCAATGTATTCTGAAAAGCAAAGGCACAAATAAAGAAGCCTGCTCAACACACAGTGCGTAACTTACTCCATTACAGCTATAACTGCTTTCATCATCCGAGCTCAGTTTCAATCGCGGAATCGGCGGACAATGGCCGTCGTAGTTCCAGGCCCATTCCTCCGAACAGGCATTTGCTGTCTGTTGAACATACTCGCGGCACTCATTCAGATAAGTGCTTAGGGTTTGTTGAGAGCATAACTGAAACATTTTCACTATTTACATGCAAAACTGCAAAGGAAATTAATGCTCAAAAAGCAAAAAATTGTGTGGTGTGACCGGGTAGAACGGGCGAGAGCTTCTTTCTGATAAAATATCCACGTAAAAAACGAAAACCAAGGTTGGAACGCAGCAGGCGGGTCGGTGCGATTATGCGTTTTTGCACTATTTCATGCTGTAGCAAGATCGCAAGGAACAGAATTTGAGACACACTGACCCAGAAAGTTAATTGTGCAGCTATATGGCATGTCAGCTGTAGATGTGGAAAGGAAAGTTGCTGGTGAACGAAAAAGACCCCGCTAGAAACGTTGAATTTGCAATCTCTTAGTCACACATGAGTAGGGAAAATCCCCTTAAAATTCCAGCCTCCCAGCTTTTCTCGTTCCCGAGTTAGCAATTTTCCCGCAAAATCTTCAAGTGATCATACATGAGTTCCACGCGGCTTAAAAGCGCTGAATTTGAAATCTTTGAGTCGTAAAGCTTCCTAGCTTTTTGCGCTCCTGGGTTAGCGGTTTTCTCGCCGAGATTTTCAAACTTTCGTACGTGAGACACAGATATGAATAACAATTGATATCAAGTCCCTGGAGTCGCACATGGCCAGGGGACATACAGCATCAAAGCTTGTGTGGTTGGCGAGTAGAAACACCCGGATAGACGAAAATACACACACACACACACACGCACACAGACAGGGCCTCACATATGCGTTAAATTATGAAAGGAACACCACGACAGACAATGACATCCCTTCCCTCGCTTTTTCCGGAAACACTGGGTGCGCTAGCGATGAAATTTGAATTTAATAATGAGCCAACGCACCGGCTGCCAATGCGAAGATGCGTTTTTTGCATATTTCCCCGCAGGTTTTGTCGCTACTGGCGCCGGATCTTCCAGCAAATACTTCTAGCTAAAAAAATTAAGACTGGCCGTAGGACTGTCAGGAAACACCCCCTTAAAATTTCAACTTTCTAGCTTCCCAAGGTCCCGAGTTAGTAACTTACACGCAAAAAAAATCATGGGCCCGTACCCTGGAACCATGCATACCCGGGGACTAGGTTTGAACTGATTAATATCTACGTGGACGGAGACCATTTCCTTAAAGTCACAGTCTTTTAGCTTCTCCGGTCCGCGAGTGATTACTTTACCCGAAAAAAATTTCACGGGCCCGTACGTGGGTACCAGGCATAGCCGGTGTCTAGGTTTGAGCTCATTGAGATTTACGTGGATAGGGGACATTCCCTTAAAATTACAGCCTTCTAACTTTCCAATTTTCCGAGTCAGCAATTTACTCGAAAAAAAACTACCAGCCCGTACGTGGGAACCACGCATCCTCGATGTCTGGGTTTGAGCTCATTGAAGCTTACGCGGACGGGAAACATCCCCTTAAAATTTCAGCTTTCTAGCTTTTTTGATTCCCAAGTTAGCGACTTACCCGCAAAAAACTAAAACGAGCTCGCACTTGGGTAGCACGCGGCTAAGAGCGCCCATCTTGGGCATTAGGGCCCACATGTGCATGCAGATTAAGTTCCCAGGGTTTCAGCCCTGCAGCTTTTGTTGGTCTTGAGATGAAAAATCGTGACAGACGCACACACAGACAACCCCTCGTCAATATGCGTTTTCTGCATTGCATAGATGCAAAAAGCACATAATAAAAGGGAAACTTACTGCTGGCGATTTATATGTACATTCGGGAATAAAATTTAACAAAGTTTCTGCAGCTGGCCTCACATATTTTTGATTTTTCAAATGAACCAACTGATTAGGTTGTAAAAATGTGCACGGAATAAGATATCTGAAAATTTTTGAACTTAACAAGCAAAATTCACGCTCAAGCCGTTGCCTAAATTAAGGTAGCCTGTTAAAAAAGTGAAATTCCTGTGAGCAATTCAGGCCAAAAATTTCACAAAACCTACTTGAAAACGAGATCAAACATGATATCTTCGCAGCGTAAATCGACCAAAGTCTTCAGTAGTGATAAGCTTACTTGACTGAGCTGCAAAATTTACAAAATCAAATAAATTTCTAATTTTTATCTAGGTTTTAAATCATATCAATATTGTATGCTACGGCAATTTACTGTACTTTATGCTCCAGTTTGGCCTGGATGATTATATAGAATTATGCAGATAAGAGATATCCAAATTAGGGAAGAGTGGAGAAGTTGTCAGGACAACAGTTGAACGAAGTATTTTTCAGTCAATGAATCGATATGTTAATCCGACTAAATAAATTAATTCAGTGCTTTTATAGCGTATAAAATCAATTAATAAAATCTAAAAACTTCGAACTATTTACAACTATGGGACAAAATTAATGATTATCTGTTGCTGATGACGCGCCTAAGCAAAAAAAAACGGAATTCAATTATTACACGGTCTGTATCGTCTTTATTTTATTACCACTCAAGTGCTTAGGCTAACATTGACCTGTACCAAATAAGTCTCGACGAACATTCTCACTTTTCTGCGCAAATATTCTCACAAGGCAACCAAATTAACCCTCTCAAAATCTCATCCGCAACACCGCCTTTGCTTGAAATGGCACTTTTAGAGGTAAACTTTATTATCTCTTACACATACAATCGTACAATCGTTTATTATCTCTTATTCGGTCAGTGTTTACAGCTAAGGGATGAAACA